TGAATTAAGGAAATATCAAAGTGTTTTAACAGAAAAAAATGAATTAATTTTGTAGAAATGCTCTGTAAATTTCACATGAGTAACCTATGAACTTCTATTAAAACGTCAACGCTTGTTCGAGGTAAACATTTGCCTTCGTTTATTTTCGAAAGCTGCTTAGGACCATTCTCCGCTCAAAGTTGACATTTGGCTTCCTTTACGTAAGTTGTTCAGTACATCAGCGAGGAGCACTATACACATAGATAAGACAGAAGTATTAGCCTCATTCCTCGGTTAAAACCAGGAGAATAGAGATATATTGTTGGGTTGATATTTCGGCAACATTCCTTTATCGAAACAATAGCAAAATATTGTTTCTTCTGCTATTGCTTCGATAAAGGCATGTTGCCGAAATATCATCCAAACTTTATCTCCATTCTCCTAGTTTTTATCCGAGGAATGAGGCTAATACTACCGTCTTATCTATCTGGCGTCTCTCATGTTCAAAAGTCCCAAGAGAACTTCCCGAACGTTCGTAAAAGACACGTGTACGATAGTCGTATCTACATTCGCCATGAATCAGGGCTTATGTACCGCAAACAGAATGTGTAAGTGCTCTTGCGCTGATATCATACTATGGTCATGATGCCACACCTGGTCTGCAACACACAGTCATATAGAGTGAACAAAACTGCCCAGCACCCAAAAGATCTGAAAAACCTGCACCAGTTGTTGACTGGCCATTTACGCCTCTGGACTGCATCCGCCCAAAAAAGCTCATCATTATACTCGGGATACGGAGAAAAAGGAATACATCCGTAACGATCACCTTTTGTAACGGTTTCAAAACCAACATCTTTGTGTGGCATAGCACACAAACACACACTCCGTGAATAGGGCGGGGAAGTGTGAGGGACGTGGACTGATGCTTTCATACTCCAGTGCGTGAGGGAAGCGCGATATTTGTTGCGTCGCGGCTGGCTTATCACAGATGGTAAGCTCAAAATCATCGTTTAGTCCCTCTAGAATCTTGATGACTATTTGGGTCCGTGGCCATCATCAGAGGTGATTTCCGACGTCTAACTTTTAGGTAGGCCAGAACCGCATTTAGAGCTTAATCTGACACTTAAAGGGGTCTCGCACTTTCAAAAGCACAAATCAAAACACCTGAATGACCTCTAAGATTAGTTCCCAATATCCATTTCAGTGTCGGGGTTTTACGATGCACTCAGCTGCTGGAGCTACATGACTTCGCGCGCCTCTCACCGTGGCAGAAAGGGCAGAGAGTCGGACCCTGTACCTCTGGTTTCTAAGACGCTACCTTACAGCTTAATCGTCTTATATTCCCTATTATCAACCCATATGATATACAAATCAGATTATCACCCAGTGTCGCCAGTTACGAACAAGATGCGCATGTTCCCACAGAAAAACTCTCCACTCAATGTCTGGGTTTAGTAATCTGGTTGTTACAAGGTCATCCCCTCTCCCCTACGCGTGCGGGGGACCTTTTTGCGCCGCGTCCGACAGAATTCAGGGAAAGAGAAAACCCACATCCTCTTCGTCATACATGGTCTGGAAAATTGGGCTGGGCCAGCAGCGACTGTCAATGGTCTGCAAAGCCACCCGCCGCTGAGTGGCCGGCGGAGCCTCCAAGTGAAGGAGGCACAAGGTCACAGGCAGGTCCACGGACACGGTGTGAGCGTGCTCCGCCGTCCCCTCCCGCTGTCTGAAGTGTCCGTGCCCGCCCACTAAGTGCACCTAAATTGGCTTTTGCTGCCCCTGAAGCGGCCCCCGCGCGACCGCCAGTCTGTTCGGGAAGGGGATTCGCCGAAAATCGGCAGCGAAACGGCTGGACGCCGCCGTTTGACCGTCTTCCGTGCGTGGGTGAAGACTCGTGCTGTCGCTGACGTGACGGGGATAGGGCGCGGGCTTCAGGGGTGGTGCGCCCTCCACTGGACACAGAGCAGCCTGGGACCACGTCGGGCCGAGTGATTCACGGTGGCCGGTAGGCAGTAAACGCAGTCCGAACGTGTAATTAGGATTACTGAAAATAAATTGAGGTTGTTTTTCCCTGTGCGCGGGTACCGTGTTGGTGTACAAATCATACAAGGAATAATTGACGCTTGTCTACTATTGTGCGCCCTTCATGACTGGAGTTTTGCTTTAATGAGGTGCCGAGGAATCTGGTTTGAAAAAAGACCAACACACGGAGGTCATTGCCACTTCGGTGGGCGATGTCGACGTCCGCATGGAAACTGCAAGAGCTCACAAGAAAGTAACCAAAGTGGGGTGGAAACTGCGCCGCGTCATAGAAGCACATGTTTCGTTCAGAGGCCTATGTACGTTTGTTCTGCGTGTGGTCGTCTCGTCTTTAGGCCTCCGCGTGTATCACGGGGGTAAAGGCCCTTACCAGAGGTGAAGCTCCACAGAATCAGTTGGCAGGCCCAGTCCCAGATCGAGCGGTCATGAGCGTTCCAAATGCTGGTTTGTGCCAGGAATTCGGGCCACTGGGCTTTGCTGGTTCGTGAAAAGCAAAGCGTAAAAGCATGTGTATAAACACACACACACACACACACACACACACACACACACACACACACACACACACACACACATATATATATATATATATATATATATATATATATATACATATATCATATTAAGTGCACCACACATTCGGTTCCGTTTTTGAAGGCTGGGCGAAGGAATCCAAACACGAGGTGGTCAACAGGTTTTGAATGCAGCTGCAACTCTCGAGATTTTTGTGAGCATGCTGTTTTAGATGGGAGGGCTCACTGTCAAGCTGAGAGAGGGCACGTGCAAGCTGGGTGTGAGGCTCAGCCGAACAAGCTAAGGGCCTTGATAACCCCAACAATGTACCATCTTACGCCCGTGCTGCTCGCGATACAGCAACCCATGCGTGTCCCTGTTATATGCTCTGATACTAAGATGGGACAGCGGTGCAGCCATGTGCCCTTAAAACTAAAATTGGTGAAATACATTTTATTAGCAAGATCTTATCCACCATGCTGCTGTGTAGTTTTACGGTACTTCCTGAAGGCAATGCTGAAGTGGTGACAAAAAAGCTGATCAAAAACATTAGAAAGTGTTGTAATGTTGTTTATCGAAGACCCAGCAAGCAGCTGTGATTTTAAAATGCGACTTCTAAAAAACAAGAGACCCTAGCAAACCCTGAGTAACTGGAATTTTTCAGTGTGTGTGTTTTATTTTTAGGCGCAGGTGCATGAACTAAAGCAGTACCTTAGTGGAAGTACTATCACAATGCCTTCGTCAAGTGGTGCTCAGTGCCAAGGATATGACGGCGTAATGAGAAAATGTCACAAGATAACGGCACATCTCCCTGAAAAAGTAAAGATGCTACATGCATCCGGAGAGTGCTCAAAGCTTTCACCATTCTTGAATTCAAAATTTACCAGCAAAACGATGTCTGTGTCATTGGACACAGTCTAAGTTCAAAGTTCTCCGTCGTGCTGCGTAGTTTCATTGTCACACAAAAAACGCCAGCGTTATTTGAGTAAATGACCGGCCAAATCAGTCTGGCAGGGCCGAAGGTGTCGAAGTTCGGTTAACAGTACTGCAGTAAACCATACGCTCAGTCTGCCCACGTGCTAGGCTGTATGTAGCTGCCCGCTGACGGTTTGGAAACAGAATGGCGGTGAACACGGCCTGATGTCAGTACTAACGACCGCTGCACCGCCCAAAACAAGCTGATGGCGATGCAAGTCAGGAAAAGGCATTGGACCGCTTCTCATCGTAATAACTGCGAAAATTGGCTGCTGCCACTATCACAATGACCAGCCTTCGAAAACCGTAGCTTCCATCACTGGAGGAAAATGAATACGATAGGCTTGATGGGTCCTTCCAGTATGTCTCCGACTTTTGATGTGTCTGGCGTCCGATAGCCATGAGCTGCTTGGACTTTGGAATATTGATACCAAACAACCACAGAATTTCAGCCAGTATTTGTAGAGCCAACATCTACGAAGGTCTTGATCCACCAAGATATCGTTGTGCGGAGTCAACCGACCACGTGCAGATCGAGATATCACATATTCTGTAATATCTACAAGCTATGTGATTGTGGCTCGTGTGCATGCAGAAGATACGGTACGTGAAGTGAGGTTATATCAGCTATTTCTACTGAAAATTCTGCAACACAGCCGTAAAATGTTAATCTGTCTATCAAAGGATATCCAAGTTTGTGTCTTTAAGGTAGCAACTAAGCGATCTGTTGTTGGCTTCCCATTGGCTGATGCAAATCCAATGAACAGTGCCGGCAGGGGTTGCGAGGAAACTAGGGCATGCGACAGTGTCAGCAGTGATCCAGTATATGATGTTAACCATACGTGTTCTCAAGAAAACACG